CTAAAAGCAATGAGCTAGGTACCTATAGCCTAGGTAGTAGGTACTTAGGTATAAATAAAAATTTACGGAATAAAAATATTGTTCAATTTATTAGACCTAAGGCTTTGACACGTTTTAAGTTTTATTAAAATAACTAGACACGTATAAATCTAATATCTTACATCTACCTAGACACCTAGTACCTATAGGTGCGTGCTAAATTCTAGATCACTTTGAAAGTAAAAACATTTTACAATAAACTATAAAATACCTATTACTATATTTACGTCTTACATTATACTCTATACTTCTATATTATATTCAATAGGTTATGTAACTTAACTCAAATTATTCAAACTCTGACAAGTGACAAGTGACATAGGTATTCGATTTGACGATTTCGTTGTTTATTGTTTAGTGTTAAGTACTTAGTAGGTATTGCGTAATTGTTAAAAAAGTCTCAAAATGATATTTACGTCATGTAGCCGAAATAGCTCAGTTGGGAGAGCGTTAGACTGAAGATCTAAAGGTCCCTGGTTCGATCCCTGGTTTCGGCATAAATTTTTGTTTTTTTTTTCRAGATTTTTTTTATTTAARCAACTTACTGTATTTAATATTATCATAACCATGAAGATTAGAGCCAAACCAATCTTCGTATACAAATATAACYTAACATGTAACATGATTATTCTGTCACCAGGAGCGCGTCGTTCGATAGATGGGTTACGTTTTACCACATAGGTTTTATTATATACGTATTACCTCTAATCTTCATGATCATAATTCATAACCATTTCAAACAATTTTTGCTGATACCATTGCATACATAATTAAAACGAATACCAATTTGAACTAAAATGTAAATTATAAAATAAATGATTTTTTGAAAATAAAACATCTAAATCTAAATTCGAACGAATAGTTTTTAAACTGCTTAACTGTGTGTACTAAGGTCTAAGAATAATAAGTCTGGTAAACTAGTAGGAGTAGAAAATATAGGGGTTATGGTGATTTAAAAAAATTATAGTGTTTAATATTTTATTATGAATCCATTAACATTTAATATTTTGTGACGATTGTCTGAGTATAGGTAGCAAGTAGGCTGAGATACTAGTGTACATACTATAACCACTTACTTAAATTCAAATATTTATTACATATATTTTAGTCTTGTAAAAGCGTTTATTAAGACATTGTTCTTATTGTATATACATATAAATAATTCAGAAACTACTAGTTCAAATTTTTATGTACATTTATCAACATTTTCGAAAAAATCATCAGCCTAACAATTCACTCTAAAAAAGGTTGGTTTCATTAAATTAAAAAAGAAGGTTGTATCACCTCATGATTACATGGAACTACTAGAATAGTATAAATATATTAATAATTAAAAATATTATATTTAAGAATAATCAAAATTTAAAAACCAGAATTTAAATTTAATTATTAAAAGAATAAATGCTGGAGGGAAGGCATGCTCGGTATTTTATTCTGTATAATACTTATACAAAAATTATATAAATACTTTAAWTAAATAAGATTAAATTTGCACTAAACGTACTAAATAGGTATATATTGTACTATGTACCTATAATACATTTCTAGATATTAATATAAAATAACATGTTTTTCTGCAAGGTCTTGAAGGCCTACCACTTAAACGAAGAAGAACTAATAAACCAACACTATACCTACTTATCGATTAGACTCAATAACAATAAATTCTGAATAAAAAAAAAATTCATGAAAAACCATCTAAGGAATTTTATAAATATTAGCAAACACGCCGTTCCTCCCGGTCGTATATATGAAATTAAATTACTGAGTTATTTATTACTTTACAAAGTGTAGTAAGCCCTGTTACACATTATTAAAGTTCAAAATGTTCCACAAAATGTCATAAGAATGTCATAGAACACTTGAGTAATGAAAGCCATAAATGACGTAACTCTAAAGATTTACAAGTTTTGACCAATAATTCGGAAAGTTACTACAAAAGCTGAGCGTACACATGATTTTATTTATTGAAAATAGGTAGAAAAAAATTAAAGCCTGAGCTATAAATAAATAAAATATGAAATGAGTAAGTCCATTGTTTAAATAAATACGAAATATCATGAGGTGACCTAACCTAACCTAACCTACTCAAGATTTTATTTTATTTAAATATGTAAACAGGATTATAATTATTTTTGAGACATTGGATGAATAGAATTTCATCCTTTCTAGACATGCGTTAAAAGGAGGATTGAAAATACTAGATGGTAAAGTTCTGATGTAGTCAATTCTTGGTATAATCAGTTGCAACTAGGTTATTATATGATACCAAAMAAGTTATATCCAATCACAAAACGATTTGATCAACACGACACRGCACACGACGTAGTTGTAAATCCGACTTTAGTGWTACAATATTATGAATATAACCTAGGCATATTTTATGGTTACCGGTTATGTGTATACTACTATTGTTATTCTTACTTTAACAACAGTGTTTCGTTTCAGGATAAAATATGGCACCTGTTGACAAGTCGACTGATGGATCCGATTCAGCAGACAAATCGGGTACGTCGGCACCGAGTCCAGCGATCGGCGAAAATAAGACAGCTGGCGGTACGTCAGCCCAAGGGATCGACCAATCAGTCAGGCAGGGCACGCCTGTTCTGGACGGCAATGGATATGCCGATACGACAATGAGTCCCAAACTAGAAAACGCAGACAACATAAGTGAGTACACGACCACCTACACGTCTTACATGCTACTAAAGGTATTCTGGTGTGCAGTAAAATAATAATGGTAATTTCATCTATAAGATCTCGGCCACCATTTTTCATCTCGTGTAATTTATATTATTACATTACGACCTCGTCATATTTCAAAATACATGGCTGTTTGAGAAATGTACTGGAAAATTATTTATTGATATTTTAAAAAAGCGCCTGTCGCTTGCACGTATACTACCTACCACCTACCTATATACAACTTTCGCTATTACAAATTATTATATATTTCCATTCATTCATGATTGGCTCGTTAGAAATAACTTAACATAAACGACATTTTTTAAATAATTGGATTCGTTTTATAGTTATACATGTAAAAAATACACACACGTAATACATATAAAATTCGTAAAAAAAAATACACAAAAGCGCGTGTCTGGCATATTRCGATGAGCCTATAATACCAAAGGAAGCAGTTTATATTGGAATGGCTTTTGCATAAATCTTTATTGCCTGCCTTGATATATATATCTTGGTGGATCCTTAACCTCCTTTTTACTGATCCCCTTCTTCCACAGAACACACGGTACGTGGCTAGTGCGAAATAAACACAATATATCGCTCTGTTAGATCGTAAATTGGACAAAATGAATGTATAAGTAGGCCAATATGCATAAAAAAAGTGCTTTATTTTACATTACTGATTCCACTGAAATTTTATATATGTGCAGAAACTAAACTATCAGACAAAGATTTGAGGACGCCGAGCATACCGTTCATAACGTCTACGCCAAACACCTTGTCTCCAACGGATAGTTCGGAAATGCCACCATGGGCATCTTGGTCTATAATAATAGGTCAGCAACAATTTTCTGTAAATTAATACAGTCAAATTCTCATATTTCGTTCAATAACTTCACTAATTTAATTATTTGTATTGATATAATATTATGTAAACATAGCGGTAGTACTACTAGCAGTCGGATTCGTGGGCTTTTGCATACACAGATTCTTCAGAAAGCGAAGAACAAAAGATGGCAAAAAAGGAAAAGGCGTCGTGGATCTAAAGGCGGTCCAACTATTGGGTTCAGCCTACAAAGAAAAAGTAAGGATTTCAAAAAAAATTAGACAGCGTAACCACAATAATTCAATGATCGGTTTATGGTTTAATCATTTTCAACACAATTGTACAAAATAATCAAATAAAATAAATTATTGTCTTATAATAAGTACATTTAATAATAGTGAATAAAACGTAATTATAATATTTTGTTATTAGAATTTAAGAGAATTGTATGTTTAATACTGTTATAAACTTTAATTCATTATAATTCAACGGAAGTAATTAAAAAATTACATATATACCTATCGATCTTTAAAGCTGTAACTCTATATGATTATGTATAATTATATCTCTGAAATTAAATCTATMAAACATATTAAATTATTAAAAGGATTCCATATTTATTAGTAAAAGACGGATCATACTATACAAATCAATGCAAATTCCACTGTCAGCATAATAATATGATAAGAAAACTTTTAACTGGTTAATAAAAAAAAAAATTACATCTTCAAAACTATAATTTTGGTGATTGTTCAGATACAACCAGATATGGAAGAATTGGCTGACAATGCTGAAGAAATTGCGGAAGAAGGAGACAGTACAAAGGACGAGAAAAAGTTAGGAAGGTTACAGTTCAAGGTATAATTACATTGTAATAATATACGCCCTTTTTTTTTCCTAACCTGCTGACTCTGTGCAAAAATGATGCACATGTTACAGATGGAATATGATTTCCAAGGCAATACTCTCTCCGTGACCGTGATCCAAGCGGAAGACCTGCCAGCCCTCGACATGGGAGGTACCTCGGACCCTTACGTGAAGGTCTACTTATTGCCGGACAAAAAGAAGAAATTCGAAACAAAAGTGCATAGAAAAACGCTGAATCCCGTCTTTAACGAAACATTCCAGTTCAAGGTACTTTTAATATATATTCATAATTATCATTTTCCAAATGAACATGCCCAAAATCAAATAATAATTACCTATTTAGGCGTAATCTGTTTTTGTCAAATGGTGGAAGAGGCAGATGCTCTCTATAATTTTATAGTGGTGAAATATATGTATTGTTTTTCCTCCTTATTTTAAGCTCTTATTCATTGAAWGTTAAAACACTTTTTTCTAAGCAATATATTTTTCCATGTACATTTTTATAGTTACTTAGGTATTTATCACTTAAATATTTATTTTTTAATAGGTATAGGTAGATTTAAATTTTTTTCATTATAAAAAATAATAAAATAATACTAACATAATATATTTTCATTAATTTTAAATTCTWTAAGATRCAAAGACTACTATATAATTGGTAAATTATTTSAGGAATAAAAGGATTTCACTTACAAACCCACTATATTTCTGACCACTGATAGATAAAAATTTTATTTTATTTTGTCTTTCCCCTTTTATATTCAACCTAGAATATAAGCGCACACAGTATTATTCAGTATATTATATGTGTATCGATGAATGTATGGTAACTTGGAAGTTTACATTATTTAATTTGTATTTCTTCCATCATCCCGCAGGGAATACCTTATGCAGATGCAATGAACAAGACATTGGTATTTGCCATTTTCGATTTCGACCGGTTCTCCAAGCACGATCAGATAGGAGAAGTAAAAGTGCCCTTGTGTCAGATCGATTTGGCCCAGACGATTGARGAATGGAGAGAACTGCAGTCGGTCGAAGGAGAAGGAGGACAGGTCAGTAATAAAATGCGATCGTGGCGAATTTTTTATGAGAATCTATATTGTATATTAATAATAAGCTTTTTTTATAATTTTATATTGTTCTTGTCCATAAGCAACATATTATTATTGTTATTATTATTATCATTATTATTATTTTGTCGTATTAATTATGTACACGCAAAACTTATGATATTTTTATGGTAYGACAAATTCTTCGAAATCTATTGAAGTATTCCTCCATTTGAGAGCATTTCAGAATAAAATACTAATTACTAACAACAACATTTTAAAAGACAAATTAATAAATTATTACATTGTTATGATAATATTTTATTCCACTGTCAATCGGATCATGATAACCAATTAGTACAACTCGTTATCAGTTTATCACCTATTAATACCATGTGCATTTTTCCATAACTATCTACAGCGGACAGGAAAAATACACTATTTCATGGTTATTTTCATATAGATAATATTAGTTTTATTTTCTAACTTATTTTTATTTTATACTTAACTATTGTTTGAACTTAATTCTTATTTTTATCTACTTAATTAATTAATTGGTTAATTTTGGGATCAGTGATTTTCGTATGAAACGAGCATGCAATACTTTTCTATTCTATATATTATTATATCGTTACGCACACATATATTATAATATGATATATATAATTAATATAACTATATATTTATTAGATATATTATAATATGTGTGTGTGTGTGTGGAGTGTAGTATATATTGTATATACGGTTTTTTTTTTAATTAACCGGCTATGTTTCAAATAATATTTGTAATAATCGTTTTATTATTGTTTTTTTTATACTACCTATATATTATTTTAATTTATTAAGAGCACCTAGTAAAGCTAAAGTAATATATTATGGTTTAAAATTWCCAGAAAAATAAAACTAAAATACAAATATTTCACAAACTAACCTATAATATTATGATGTTCGGTTTAAAAAAAACACCCTGTATATACTTATACTTACATTTATATTATATATACCTATATATTGTTGCAATATTTTATTTCTTCTTTACATCTACATTTTTTTCATATTATTATCTATTGTTGTTCGCAAGCATTGTATTTTGTTATTTTTTTCTGTTTGTATTGTTTTGGTTTGAATACAAAAAATCAACCCGATTTTTTTGGAACACGGTGCACCACGAAAACCAACAATGTAAAAAATATATACTCACGTAAGTACGACGGCCTCCTCAGCCGAAATATAGGCCTGTGTCATACCAAAATGTGTGCTGTGTCTCGTGTTTTTGTGGTGTTCTGCTAATATTATGATTTTTATTTATTATTTTTTTTATATATATATATATAAATATATTATATATACATCAGTTTTATATTTAAATCCTTTGTTTTCAATGTTCTAGGAATATTTTTTAGATATTCATGCGTTTGACAGTTTTTCTCGTTGAAAAAAAAACTTTTACACGGTTTTTCCCTCGTCGACGATTAGCGTTGACGATATATTTAATATTATTGTTGTTGTGATCAAGTGTCGCAGACGCAGAGTTGGTATCAATGGTCTAAACTCTAAGACTAAACAATTTTCATTTCAGYTGTTACTATTCAAAACGATATTATAAGTCATGCGTGCTTAAAAATCATTTAGGTATTTCATTAATTACATATTGACAGTAATGACAGAAACGAAAATCTATTATAATATACAAGAATTCATATTAAGTAGAGATACTTACATTTTCGCCAAGAATTAACTAATAAAGAATATATATTAGAAAATCAATAACTCAAACTGTACAACAACGTGTTACCCTTAATATAGAATAATTACTTACCTATGTATATTAATCGACACCGTTCGACCTTTGATACCAATTTCAAGTGTGAGCGAAACTATTTTATACAGTAGTTCTCTGGAAATATGCAAATTTTCACGTATATATTATTGTTATGATCTAAAGGTTATGTTTTTGTACATAGACTTGAGTAACATTTACGTACAAAAACAACGGTATGATATTATTTTAGATTTAATTAAGATCAGAGTATAAATAATATTATTAGAATATATATTATATAGTATGTATAATTTGTGTTGTAGGTATTTAATGGCGCTGAATATAATAATAATAACTATATTACGCTAATTTTGTACAAATACGATGTGTTTATTAAGGATAAAATATTACTAATACCGTGTAAAGAACCAACAAATAAACCTACGTAGGTGTTTTAGTTTTTCATTAATTAATATTTCGATAGTTCTATCAAGTTCAAAATTCTTGTGCGACTAATAATTTAAAAGTTCAAAAATTAACTTTCAATTTAAAAATATGATATTAACGTTGTATATTATTATGTTTAAAAATCCATAGTATAAATCGTTCATCAAAATTGAAAAAATATCCTTAATATTTTATTATGAAACACGATATCGTATTGACAAAACCTGGACGCATAACATCCAGGCACAATAGTATGGATAGTATTATAAACGGAATATTAAGTTCTATAATCAATAGAGCCTATAATACATATTATATTATATATATATATATATATTGACCTATAGTAAATATTATATTAATTATTTGTTGTTATACTAACATTACTGTTTTTATTATTATATTATATAGAACAGTGGGTTCTAGACCTTATATAGCGTAGAATGTCAAAACACTTAGGTATAGTGGATACTTAGAATTTGAATACCTATTTCAAAGCGTTTAAGACCTAAAATAATAATAATATTATAACATCATTARATTCAAAATTCACATCTAGTGGCACAAATCATTTGGAACATGCTGTATTACCTAGTACAAGTTCCCGTGTAAAAAATCTATTTGTTTTTTATTTTTAGAAAATTGGATTGTTTTTTTTTTTTTTTTGTACCGATTCGAACGATTATATCTACAAACACGCATTGACGTTAAAACTATCTGTTTTTCGCTTTTTCAGGACAACAAGCTGGGAGACATTTGCTTCTCATTACGTTACGTGCCCACTGCCGGAAAACTTACAGTAGTAATATTGGAAGCTAAAAACTTGAAGAAAATGGACGTTGGTGGACTCTCAGGTAAAAACCATACGACGAAAACCATCGTATTTATCTGCAGTTTTCGTTAATAATTCATATGGCATATATAATATTATTTTTGAGTAGATCCGTACGTGAAGATCGCTTTGATGCAAAATGGAAAAAGATTAAAGAAAAAGAAAACTAGTATAAAAAAGTGTACCCTAAATCCATATTACAACGAGTCGTTCACATTCGAAGTGCCATTCGAACAGATACAAGTAAATAGTTTTTTTTTTCGACAACAAGCGCTATTAGCCTGTGGAACTGTCGGGGAGGAAACTGTTGGTCTTGGTACTCTTGGATGTTTTGGCAGAATTTCGAATGGGCACCCGTAGGTTTCTT